GAGTTTCTTAGCTAAATAGCAAAACTACTGGCAGGTTTCCATGAGATTTTGAAAATAGTTTAATGGCAAGATGGCTCACATATTTTTCCATGAATACATTAGAAACAGATTGATGAGTATTAAAATATAAAACATAAATACTACCGTATACCATGGGATCTGAAACTCTGTTGGCATAACATACACTTAGTGAAGCACCAAGAAAGGAAAAGCACTCATAGCTAACTATTCGTGTCACAAGGCTTTCTTAGCACTTAGGGTTTTTATTTTAAGTGAATTTTTAAAAGTCCTTCTAGAGCTCTTTGGACATAGAATTTTTAAAATCTTGTATCACTATTCTGCATACACAAAAAGGGAAATATAAGCTAAACAAATTGGTTTAAGTTATGCCTAAAACTTTTTCCACAGAGAGAATCTACCTCTTCGGAATCCCTCTTTGATGCAGGACCTTGGAAATCCCTATTTTCCTACCCACAGTTGTCCTATGAGCCATCCAGAGCTTTCAGAAGAGTTCTGGTTAAGGCTGTATTTCTTCTAAAAGTCCTCCATGATCATCTGGGATTTTCCTCTAAGTCTCTGACACCTGCTGTCTGAGCTTTGATGCTCATACACTTGCAATGAGAACTGGGCCACACGCTGCCGGCCAACAGTGAGCATTAGGCATGGGGCTGACGCATGAGAAAGTGTTCATCTTAGAATCAATGAAATGGGGTGCCTATGCCCCCCCATAATTCATGTGTGAAATTTAACCCCCAAGGGAATGGCATTAGGAGGTGGGCCTTTGGGAGGTGACTAGGTCATGAGGGTGGAGCCCTCTTGAATGGGGCTAGTGCCCTTATAACAGGGACCCCAGAGAGTTTTCTCACCCCTTCCATCAGGTGAGGATTCAGTGAGGAGATGGCTGGGTGAGCCTCATCAGGAAGCAGACTCTCACCAGCCATCAAATCTGCCAGTGCTTTGATCCCTTGATCGTGAGCTTCTGGACTGTGAGAAAAAAAATGTCTGTTGTTTATAAGCCACCCAGTCTGTGGCACTTTGTTCTGGAAGCCCTAATAGACTAAGACATACTCAAACTTAACATGTACTTTTGCTGTCTCCCATCTCCACTCCCCCCTACCCAGATACAGTGTGTGTGTGTGTGTGTGTGTGTGGATAACTTTTAGGGAAGGAGGAAAATCTGACATCTATAATAAAAAGCAGGAAAAAACCACAGCTGGAAAAAACATGACAAGCCCAGGATTTGGGTTTACTGTGGCAGTGGGCTTCCCAGAATACCTCCAGCTCATCCGCACTGTGAATGAGCCGTGCAGGAAGCTAAGCTGTGTGTGGTAGAAACAGCACAAGCTTTGGAGTCAGGCAAAGCCAAGCTTGGATGCTAGTTTTCTCCTTTAACCTGGCCAGTGATGCTCATGGCATGGGACCTCTCTAAGCTCCGGGTTGCTCTTCCGTAAAGAGGACAATTATAGTACATGTCTCACAGGGACTAAATAGAGTAACCTATGTAAATGCCATTAATAAATGCCAAGGATGTTTTGGTCCCCCCACTTATCCCTCCCTTAAAATACAGACCCAGGAAACACCCCCAAAAGCTGAAAATAAATGAGAGCCACCATTAAAAAAAAAAAAAGTTGAGGGACGCCTGGGTGGCTCAGTTGGTTAAGTGGCTGCCTTCGGCCTGGGTCGTGATCCCAGAGTCCTGGGATCGAGTCCCACATCAGGTTCCTTGCTCAGCAGGGAGCCTGCTTCTCCCTCTCTCTCCCTCTGCTTGTGCTTTCTCTGTCAAATAAATAAAATCTTAAAAAAAAAAAAAAAAGTTGAAACATGTTTTTGTCTGTATTTCAACTGAGAAATACAGTGGCGATAATTTCTCCTGAAAATCATAGTTGTTCACCAGCACATGAAAATTACAGTGAAATATTGGGGGTAATTATTATTATTATTTTTTTTTTGGATTCAACTACAAATGGTGATTTTTCAAAGAATACCTGTTGGCATGACTCAAGTCTGTAGAGAAATGAGTTCTGTTCTGTCCTTTGGTGTCCATGGATGGAGTCAGAGAGACTCTTCTCGGGCACTGGCAAGTCCAGTCATGGGCAGATGGTTGGCGATGACACAGCCCAATCCCAAGGCTGGCTTGCTCAGAATGCTTTCTCTCCCCTCCCTTTCCTTAGGCATACCAACTGCAACATTCTCCTGGCTGCACCCAGTCAAAAGCCCCAGCACAGAGCATGCAAATGCAAACCTCTGCCTTCCAGGAAACCCAGCAAACCTTCTTCCCCGGGGGTTGGTTCCAGTAAAAGGTGGGGCTCAACTGCAATGGGCAGGAAACCCAAAACATAATCCCAAACTCAGCAGCTGCCTTTTATGGCTTTGGGAGATAATAAATCACTTTGCCTTTGTTTCCCATCTGTATAATGAGAATAATAGTCTTACCTCCTCTACAGATATGTTCTGATAACTAAGAATTTGGGAAATATGACTGTTTTGTCTCTTCTAAAAGGGGGAACATAGAGGGAATGCTAACTACCACTAGGGCATACTTGTGAATAAAATTCCAGCCTGACCATTTATAAAACCGTATTTCTGAAAGTCTAGTTTCTACTGCTACTCAAGGCCATGATATAGATAGTGGATAATCCTCTCTTTTGCTCTTTTACCTGTTTTTGGTCTCTGCAACTTATTTCCTCCCTGATTTTGGAAACAACCCTCCTTTCCATTGGGCATCTGCACTTTCCCCACCTCTGTACCACATCCCATCCCATCCCACTGTTATTTGGGGTCCCAAGCAAAGACCCAGGACTCAGGTCTGCATCTAGTTAGAAGACCCCATCTGCCTTAGCCTGGATTTTCCCGAAAGCAGAGCATTACATGCAATGATACGCAAAGAGGGTCCAGGGAGCAGGAATGAGGGAAGGAGGAAATGTTAATGCAAGGATGTATTATCAAGTTAACCCCAAAGATGGATGCCTGGAGAAAGATCTTGCTAGGGCTTTTGGAGCAATCTATGCAGTACATCTCAGAATCATCTACCTGAGGGATGAGAGACAAGAGCATTTATCCCCTGGCCTCTGTCCCTAGCTCCATTGACCTCCATTTCCAGGTTGAGCATATGTGAATGTTGGGGGAGGTCCTGCAGATGTCCCTCACCAGGGTTTAAAACTGTGATGGGAAGCTAGAGGCATCCAAAGTTGAAATGAGGCACACGTGTCACCCAAAGAATCCTGACTGATAGAGTATAGATTTAGCACCAAGGAGCCCCGCAAAGTAAGGAACATCACAAGATGAAGGGCTCACCCCCATTGGAAAGGACCATTTTGCAACTGACAGCAACTAAGGAGCCCCTCTTAAACTTGAACTTGGAGGCCAAGAGTTTAAATCTCTGATGATTGTGGTAAATTTTCTATATACATATTTAGACAGTCAGGAAAATTGAAGCAAAATCTTTTAGTAGATAACTTTCTCTATACCATACAAAAATGAGTGAGTTGTTTCCTACTGTCTCTTTACCAGCCAACTTTGACATTTTGTATTAAGTATGATCAATAGAATACAATCTCAATGAGATGATTTATGAAAGAAGTGTGCCAGTGTTACATAAATTTGACAAATACTGTATACACATTTCCTTGATTCTAATACTAACTTTTACCAACTCTTCCACATTTCTAAACTCAGAATTCATCTCATAATTAGTGTGCAGCATTTCCTTACATCCTCTTATGGGCTGAATTTCATTCAGTGAAATTCATATATTGAAGCCCTAACCCCCAGTACATCAGGATGTGGCTCAGTTTGGAGACAGGACCTTTACAGAGCTGATTAAGTTAAAATGAAGCTGTTTGTGTGGGCTCTAATACAATCTGCTTCATGTCTTTGTAAGAATAAGACATTTGGACTCCCACAGAAATGTGTGTGCCTGAAGGAAGACCACGCAAGCACACAGGAAGAAGGTACTTCAAGCCAAGAACAGAGGCCTCAGTAGGAACCACCCTTGTTGACACCTGGATCTTGGACTTAGAGCCTCTGGAACTGTCAAAAAATAAACTTCTGTTATTTAACTCACCCAGTGTGTGGAAATTTGCTATAGTAGCCCTAGTAGGCCAAGACACTTTCTATAAAGCTGTTATTAACCCAATGGCACTTTTTAAATCATAGCAGTTCTGAATCCAGGAAACATGATATATCTAGAGATTCACAATGCACATGAATGTATTAAATTCTCTGAGAAAGCCTGCAGCTTCTTTAACACTAACTCCTGTTCCATGTGCTTGATCACCATGATCTGGGTACCACAGCATGGAAGCCACTCTAGAAAGCATCGAGCAAATTTCCCTCAAATACGTGTGGAGCAATGGATTCAAAGAGGAAAACTGGGAATACCATTTCTTGGAGGAGGAAAGCTCATTCACACATGAGCAACCTGATACCTTCAACAAGGACCTCTATAAATTGATGGTCAAGAATAACAAAAACCACTTAGTGACAATTACTCCTATATTATCAGGCACACCTCACATTATGGACTACTCAGGCAACCCCCCTCCTTGCACATTTCCCATATACACAAATTCCAGTTACCCTGTAGTAACCAAACTTAACTAATACCAGTCCCCCAAAAGCACAGTTCCAATTTCAGTCACCACAGTATATTAACTGTGAGTAATTGTGTCACGTACAAACTGCTGCTTGCACTTCAGTTCACAGACCACTACATAAATTACAGATGTGTGTCATGATCGGGGACCCACCATATCACTCCCTTCACAGCCTGCTGGTGACTGGTCACTGCGCATCTGGTATCAGTTCATGCACAGACAGCAAAGCATGCGGTTGTGTGGCCTCCTTATCTCCCAAGGGTAAACCCACATGACATTTTACAGAAATGGAGACTCCTTAAAGAGAATTAGCCAACAGAGTCAAAAGTGTAGCAAAGAAACAGAAAGTGGTGATATGGGAAGTAAAAGTTTAACCAGACGGGAGCAGAGTTATAGAAGAAATACCTGAAGGGCGTTGGGTGGGAAGGATGGGAAAGATGGTACTACTGCTGTTGTTTGAGAGATTCTAGATATGCAGCCAAAGGAACCCAGCAAACCTGTTGAAATAAACAAGGAAAATGATTATTAAAAAAAAAAGATGAAAATGCTGGCAAAAAAAAGTCATCTTAAGGGAACTCTCGGGGATATTTCATGGCATTCAAGGTAAAAGACAGAATGTTAGAAGCTGAGCCGAAATTAGAGAGGAATATAATTCACCAAGGCATAAAAAAAATGCTTGGTGCATTTCTCACTATTGAAAACTCTTTTTAAAAAATGTGTATAAAGCAATCAAACATTATTTCTCAATATTTCTAATGTTTTAAATTATAGTATGCTAAATATTAGTTTTGCTATGTTTAAAATTTTCTTTTACATTTACAACCAACAGTAAGAAAGTCCTTAATGTTTTGACAAAAATTTTGCAGGTCATGAAACAATCTCATTGATTATTGATCATTGATTATTCTCATTGATTATTGAGATTGCTTCACACAGTTTCAGCTTGCTTAGTCATTTCTACAGTCCCACCCCACTGTGCAAAGCGAAGACTACATGTAAAGCTCTGATGTGAAGAAGAAAATTCATGTGGCCCTACTCTTCATCATTTGACAAGCGTTATGGAACCTACCATGATTGAGTCGTGTAAGGGACCCAAAGGCTAAGGTGACACAAAGCCTTCCCTCGCATAGCTTGCAGCTGAGTAAGAGGGGTGGCAAGAATATAACGATAATGGTTAATGTTAACATGGACTGACTGCTCTGTGTGTGTTGGGCACTGAGCTAAGTCCCTTTCTTACCGTGTCTGGCCTCCTACTAACCTTAGCACTGGTGGAACTTTCCAAGGACCTAGGATGAGCTCTGATGGTTCAGAGGAGAAGGAGGAGCAGCAAGGCCTTCGGGGACAATGGAGATGTCACCCTTCTGAGCTCAGTGTCTGCACACACACAGTGCCATGTGTTCGTGTGTCAAGTAGCACAGTGCCCATCTTTCCTTTCCACACTTATGGGCCCCCAAGGCATGGCCCCAGGAGGGTGGGAGGCACAAGTCGGGGCAGTTTGGATAGGCACTTGTCAATGCAGTCCCCGTCAGGACGAGGAGGGAAGATGGCAACCACGGCTTTTTCATCATCACATCAGGTGCAAGAATTTAGGGAGTTTTCTAACGTGAACACTGGGCAGGTATAATTCGTGTCTTTCCCTGTTTATCTAATTTCATGAGGGCATGTTCAGGGAGTGAATTGTTGCATAAGGAGATATGTCTACCATACTTTCTAATCTGCTCATTAGGCCTTAGGGTACTCCTTGGGCATGAAAACTATCAACGGGTCATCTCAACTTCCTTCATATTCAGAAAATCAACAGTGCTGGGGCTGCTGGGTGGCTCAGTTGGTTAAATGTCTGACTCTTGATTTCGGCTCAAGTCACGGTCTCAGGGTCGTGAGATCGAGCCCCATGTCAGACTCCACACTCAGCGAGGAGTCTGCTTGAGATTCTCCCTACCTCTCCCTCTGCCCCTCCCCCCCATTTAAGAGCTAAATAAATAAATAAAATCTTAGAAAAAGAAAATCATCAGTACTAATATGATGTGTCCTTGTTAGGTCACTTGCCTCCTAGCAGTCCCTCCAGACTGTGCTATTTAGTGTCCTGACTCCAGAGGGTCCCTCTCTGTCTCCTCCCTCTTCCTTGACTCCTGATCCAATCAGTGGCTGTGCACAGACCTCTGAAGTGTCCTTCCCCTCTAACTGATCTCCTGCATTCCTGCTGTCCCCCCACCCACAGTGCAAGCCTGTCTTCCTTTGAGTGAGGAATTCCAACAGCCACCCATGCACCCCCCACACCCGGGCTCCTCCTCCTCTAGTCCAGTCTGCACATGGCACTCCCCTGCACACCAAGCCTGAATGGCTCTTCACTATCCATTAAATGCAAACCTCTCATCCTGCCATTCAGAGTCCTCTGTAACTGGACAACTCTACTCTGCACATAGCCAAATAGCCATACCTGCCTATTCCGATAAAGCACTGCCTTAGAAAATCCTGCCCAGGTTTTTTCATCCATAACAGTACCAGAAGTTAACAGCCCAGCAGGGATTGTGCCATATTTCTTGTCTTATATATTTTTTTCCTTTTCTCCTTTCTTCCTTCCTTTCCCTTCCCATACATAAACACAAACACATGCGTCACACGCACATGCAAAACAATTACCTCTTTAAATACAGAAAGACCCTTATCTGAAATAATCATCAAAAATCAAGGATAATGCACACATTGTACAGGGAGCAAGGGGGAAAAAAGAAGCATAAGGAAAATATGGAAATCCCAAGGTTGAACCAATAACCATCCCGACCTCTTACAGTCTACACTAACAGAGGCATCCATAACAAATTCTCCCTCAGAGGGATGCATCCGGGGCAGCAAGAGACTTTCCTGAGGTTATCCAAAGGCAAGTAGGATCTTCTTCAAGGGCAACAGGCCTAGAGACAGAAGTGTGTATGCTTTAAATGTATGAAAATTCTCTTTCCTTGACACCAAGGAGTTCAATAGAAAAAATGTGCATGTAGACAGCAATTAGAGGAAAGAAGAAGGGAAAAGAATGTGGCCCATTTCCTCCCTCAGTCAAAAAGGGAAAAATTAAATAGAACACTGAGAAGATGGTGTCATTACCAGACGTTGAGCGTGTGCATCGGCTGGTAAGCTATTAAGCACACAGCACAGCCTGGAGCTTGGCTGACCACGGAAATATGCACAGTCTCCTTGTAGCAGCGCCTCTTGTGTGAACACCATTGGAGGCGTTAGTGGTGCGCATGCGTGTGAGTGTATGTCTCAACAGAACCCAACACAACTGCTTTGAGGAGAATCCATTTCCATTCCACCCAGAGCTGCCCAAGGCAAGTCTGATTAGTTGGGAGAGTGAAAGAGAAAGGAGCAGACCCATCGTCGTTCTTCCCTCTCTTCCTAAATATAGGAGACTTTGGAGTTGAACACCATGATACAATATTTCCTAACTGTCATTCAGCTGACACAGACCTGTGACTCCATGGGGGCTCTCCGAGAAGTACATGCCTTCATCCACACCCCAGAGAGAAGTTCGTCCTTCACAACCCACCCCTCAAGCCCCACCCACTCTATTTCTGCATACACACACATCCAGCTGTCTTCCCTCCTCTCTTCACCATGGTTACGGGAGCCTCCACCCTCAACTTCCCTAAATTGAAAATTGGCAAAGAACCCAAGGAAATGAATGCCCTCCCATTGAGCCAGAGTTTTACCATGCACTGTTTGGATAATAGTATTCTAACAGAATACCCGGAAGTTACAGAATATACTCTTTAAACATAGCTACTAGTTAATAAGCCCTAGGAATGTCTTAGGACTCCTGACGAAAAGTTTTCTGGGGACAGAGAGTCAGGCCAGTGCCTAGGTCTTGCTTGGGAACAAGACTTCATTGCAGAGACCACTTGCTGCATTATACTGAGAATGTTTCAGAAGTTGAACCAGGCCCCCTGGGAAAAAATGCTAACATGGATTTGTGACATCTGTGTTGGGTGTGGAAAGGGGAGGGGCACGTATTTGCCATCTTGAATGGGGTACATCTCAGGCATTGTTTTATTCCATCCTCACAGTTTCCTGTACAATAAATGTCAGTCTCATTTCATAAACAAGGCATCTGAGTGGCTTGCACTCAGAAGCGGGGGGAGGGTGCCTTGTTTTGGGGAGGCATGGATTCCTCTAATTTCTAATGAGTGACTTTGACCTTGAGTCTCCCCATTGGCCCTGCTGAAACTTTCTTAGACCTGCACCCCAAGTGCTTTCCTTCCTTCTGCCTTCCACTGGGGTTACACCTGCATCTCATCCAGAGGTTCTTCTGCTCTCCCTGGCAGGTAATTGGTGCCCGTTGGGAATTCTCCACCTCTCCTCTTCCCTCCTAGGTGATAACTACAGTCAAGTCCAGCATAACCTGGTTGGGGATATGCTGATCCTGATAAGGAAACAAAGAAATTACACACCAAAGTTGCTGTAAGAATTAGCCATATTTACTGGCAAGAGCTAGGGTCTTGATCAGAGGGATCAGAGTATAAGACTGGACAAAGCAGGATTCATTGACTCAAAGGCCATTTCTCCAGATTCAGGATTTAACATCCTGGCAAGGATCCCAGGGGATGGACAAATTTTCTTCTGGGGAATCTGATGGGCAATGCTGGGTGGAGTAGAAATGCCCAAGCTGCCCTGACAGGTGGCTAAGGGAGGGAGGAATAAGCAGTGGGCACGTTGGAATGGGTATGTTAGGTGAGGCAAAAGACCCACCAGAGGATGATGCTCTTCAGAAGGTACAGATGACAGCTTTCATCAAAGCCATTGGACCTGTGCTGGTGAGGGGCACCAGCATCACCAAGATGCTCAGTGGTGGCTCTGCTCTGCACACCAGGGCTGACCACAGGAGGGGTGGGTGCAGAACTGGGTTTATGAATATCCATGGTTAGAATGAGGGAGGGCCTGGAAGCACTAGCAACCAGGAATCTGGGCTTAACCACCAGAAGCCATGGGGCCAAACCACCCTACTGACTGGTAAGGTCAGAGAGGTAGCCAAAGAGGCATGCCCATCAGGTAGTTGGTTAACATATGTGGTGTCCCAAGGGCAAAATAAACAGGCAGCCAAGAAGGGTGCTGCTTAATATCTACAACAACAAAAGTACGAATGGGGGGGGCGGGCTGTGGGACTGTCTCATTATTTAGCTTCTAGATCTGAGGCAACTGTCCGATTTGGAATCCATTCACGAAAGAGGCAGAACCCTGCCACACCGTGGCAAGCTGTACTGAGAAGATAGTTGGATTAGTTTCCTGGGGCTGCCGTAACAAAGTGTAATGAGTAGGTGGCTTACCTCAACAGAAATTTTGTCTCTCATAGTTCCGGAATCCAGACGTCTGAAATCAAGGTGTTGGCAGGGCCACACTCCCTCCAAAACCTGGAGGGCAATCCTTCTTTGCCTCCTCCTTGTATCTGGTGGTAGTTGCAATCTCTGGTGTTTCTTGGCTTGTAAATGTGTCACTTCAATGCTGGCTTTACATGGCTGTTTTCTCCCTGTGTCTTCATATTGCCTTCCTTCTGTGCTTATCTTTGTGTTCAAATTTCCCCATTTTATAAAGACTTCAGTCATGTTGGATTAAGGTCCACACTGATGAACTAAACTCATCCTAATGTGGATAAATCTGCAAAGATCCTATTTTTAAGTAAGCTCACATTCACAGATAACGGGGGATAGGACCTCAACATATGTTCTTTTTAGGGGACACAATTCAACTCATAACAATAGTCCTCCCCCAGAGGTCATGTAGTATGTGACTAATCATTGAGGAAAGGGGAAGACTGTTCAAGGACTACTGGACACACGGTCTGAGTTGACATTGATACCTGGAGACCTGAAGTGTCACCATGCCCCCCCCCACCCGTTAGAATAGGAACCTACAAGCCCCAATAGTTAGTGGGATCCTGGTTAATATCCAGCTCACAGTGGTCCTGTTGGCTCCACTGACATGCCTGTGGTCATTTCCTTGTTTCCTAAGTGCACAGTTGTAATTGGCATACTTGGGAGTTGGATTAGCTTCAACACTGGCCCTTGGGATAAAACCTTTCACTGCACAACACCATATCTGAAAATACCTCCAATGGCCAAAGTAGTAAGTCAAAAACAATATGGCATTCTGAAAAAGATGGACATTTGTACCGCCATTAAAGTCCTCAAGGATACAAAGCCATGGTACCAATCATATCTCCATTTAATACAGTCTAGCCCCTGCAGAAACTGACTAGATTTTAGGGAATGACTATAATCTACAAAAACTAGACAAATAGTAACCCCGATCACAGGTGCTGTGCTGGACATGGTCCATGGCATGCAGTCACTGACCCGGCAGATGCATTTCTTTTCAATTCCAATCAAGAAAGAGGATTAAAAACAGTTTGTATTAATGTAGGATGGAAAACATTACTCCATTAGAACTTTGCCTCAAGGCTAGATGAATTCTGCCTTCTGTCATAAAATGGTCTGAAGATATGTAGACCATTTGAACATCCTACAGAACATAATGACATCATGGTGATTGGACAGAAGAAATAGTAGGTGGATAGTTCACTGGAGAACTTGATAAGATACATGCACTAGAGAGGATAGGAGGTAAAGAAGCTCCCTATGAAGTTACAGGGACCTGCCATCTAGGCATGAGCTAGTGACCCTGACCAGCAGGAAGAGGAAGGGCTCCTTTTACATAATGGGGCAGGACAAATTTGTGTGGAGCCCAGGGATCCCCTTGGGTGGCTCTGGGCAGGCCCTCCCCCATAGTAACTGTGAATAGACACTCCCAACAACCCACACTGAAAAAGGGATCAAGTCCCTCCAGAAATGAGGTCAGGGTCACACCACCAGGTAAGCCACCACGATCTGCCAAGATGAGAGATAACAGTGAGGGGACAATCAGATGGAGAGTGAAGGAAAGAAAGAATGAATAGGAGTTGTGGCCCCAATGCCACTAGCCCCCCTCTTCTCAGTGTCCCCTCTGGAGAAGAGGCCATGGGACATTACTGAGGAGCTGTTCCCAGAACATGCACAGAGTTAATAAATCACAGAGCATGGGGGCCACGGGCCAGCCCCAGCACTCTGAAATCCACCTCTCCCAGCCAGGGACAGCACAGCAGGAACAGTCAGGGCTCCTCTCTCAAGCAACTTGGGTTCAAGGACCTGTCATCAGCCTGCCAAAACTTCCTTAAAACTGTTTCCTCCTAGCCCTCCAGCCTTCCCTCTCTTCTTGGAAGGGCTAGACCTGCTTGCCGACAACTCCCCAGCCTCCTGTGGCTTCCTCCTGATCTTAGCTTCCTGCGGCTGCTACAACAAATCACTACGAGCTTATGGGCTCAAAACAACACAAATTTATTATCTTATAGTCCTGGAGGTCAGAAGTCTGAAATAGCCCCTCATGGCTTCATTCATTCTGGACGCTCTAAGACAGAATCTATCCCCTGCCTTTTGTAGCTTCTAGAAGACATCCACAGTCCTTGGCTCCTGGCCCCTTCTTCACGTCACTCAGACCCCTGCTTCAGTCATCATGACTCCTTCTCTGACTCTGCCTTCCTGTCTCCTTCTTATAATACAGGATCTGTGATTATAGTGGGTCCATTCCGACAATCCAGGATAATCTCCCCATCTCTCGATTCTTAACTTGATCATATCTCCGAAGTGCTTTTTGTCCCACGTGGTAACTTATTCACAAGTTCTGGGGAGTAGGACGTAGACATCTTTGTGGCATTATTCAGCCTATATATTTCCCATTTTCCCTCCCAGCATATGCCCTGAGTGTGTTTCTCACACATCTAATCCCATCGTGATATCTTTCTTGGAGAATGTGAACTGACACCTGGGTCATCTGCTAGTGCCCCTTAGATCTAGACAAGCAAAGTCCTGGGCCTGGGCCCCATGCCTCAGGGGACCCTGTTCTTTGGAGAGCCTTCCCCAAACTTTCCAAGCCCCTTTTTGTTGCCTGGAATTGTCCAGGCTGATGGTGCCTCTCAGGTGGGGTTCCGGCCTGACTGAGACCCTGGGTGCATTCTGGTCTCCATCTCCCCCTTAGAATTGTTCTCCAACCCCCAGCCTGTGCACAGGTTCAAGCAAATGTTCTGAAGACCTCTTAGATTTGTGCCTTTGGGGTTGTTCTGGGGCCCCTACCTCAGGCCCCAGTTCCAGAAGAGGAATTGCCTGAGTAGGCTCCAGCTGGCCTCTATGGTATTTTTTCTGGATTGCATGAAATTGAGCCATCAGAGTAATGCTCAGATGCTGATTTTGGATGATGCTCACTCACATCAGATATGAGAGGAGTTCAGTGCTCTGAACAAACAACCATCTATCACAAACCCTTGGCTTGAGCAGCATTGGTGACCCACACAACAGCTCTCCCTTCCCCATGTTCATGTCAGGCAGTCTCCTGGGGGTTATGAAAAGGCCTCTGAGGACTTTCTAGCTGATGCTCTGCCTTGCCAATTGGCCCTTCCAATCCAGGCCTGCTCTTGATTCCAGTTAATGTAATGATGTCATGCTCTCCAGGGGCTCAGACTGTGGAGGGCTGGACATTCCTTGCTGAATGGGACACTCTGGTTGTTGCACCCAGGGCCTCTGGTCTGTCCTCCCCATTGGTAGAGGTATGTGGAAGGCAAGGATGGAGTCAACATAGAAAGAAAACACACTCCAAGAATGTAGGATTATAATATAAAGAGTTCAGAGAAGACAGGGTTAGAAGATGTGTTCTTCTACCTTTATACTCTAAAATTCACCTTTTTTTTCCAGTAATAAATATATTTTTTCACCATACATAGTTATAAAGATTGTTTTTCTTCTGATGAGAATTTTTAAGATGCACTCTCCTAGCTACTTTCAAATATGGAATACTGTATTATTAGCTATAGTCACCAGGCTGTACAAAATATCCCCACGATTTATTCATTTCAAACTGGAGATTTGTACCTATGGTCCCCCTATACTATAAAATTCAGGATGATACATTTTCTGACCAGAGGATGAATTATCATTCACATTTTTCTGCATGCTGTAGCATTATCAACAAAGCACAGTAACAACTTTTAGAGAGTCATTGGAGCCAGTATACACAGAGGCACACTAGAAGAGGCAGCCTCGTGAGTGATGATGTAACCACTCTGAACATATGGTGTTAGGGAACTGCAGAGGCAAGAAGATCTGTGTTGCTTCAATACAAACAAGTCTATAAGCGCCATGACATTGTGAATAATAATGATGATGCACGAGAGATACACAGTTAGCCAAGATTTAAAACACACACTCACACGCATACGAAGAGATGGTTTCTGGACCTGAATAGAAATACATGGCACCTGGACACTAAGAAGAATCTTCCATGCTTGTTCTACTTTCAGAATCTGGGTGCAATAATCAGATCCTATGAAAGGATGCTCCCCAACTCCACAACATAGATCATAGAGAAAATACTGCCTAGAAATGGAGTTCTTTCAGTAGAAGATACAAAGGGGGAAAGATGGAAGCATTGGGTTCTCCTGGGTTTTTTCTTTGGTTTCTGGTCAGAATCAGCTGGGCGTCTTCACTAACATGGGATTTCCAGCCCATGTGTTATCCTTGGTCATACCAGCCCCCAGATTCTCATCATCAGGCAAAACATGGGGAATAGTGAGCTAGAGGGCTATATGAAGACACACAAGGCTGGCGAGCAACACTGAGAGCCCATTTTTACTTTAAGAATTGCCTAGCATCCCACTTATAGGTAGTCAAAATCATAGAGAAAGTAGAAGGGTGGTTGCCAGGGGCTGGGAGTAAGGGAATGTGGAGTTTTCATTTAACAGAATTTCAGTTTTACAAAATGGTAAGACTCATGGAGATGGATGATGGTGATGGTTGCACAACATTATGAATGTTTTTAATACCACTGTACACTTAAAAGTAATGTAGATGGTAAATTTTTATGTTTATCTTACCTCAATGAAAACATCTGGGGGGCTCCTGAATGACCCAGTCAGTTAAGGGTCTGCCTTCAGCTCAGGTCATGATCCCAGGGTCCTGAGATCGAGCCCCGCGTCAGGCTCCCTGCTCAATGGGTAGCCTGCTTCTCCCTCTCCCTCTGTCTCCCAGCTCATGCTCTCACTCTCACTCTCTCACTATCTCAAATAAATAAATAAAATCTTAAAAAAAAAAAAAAAAACATCTGGGAGGAAAGAAAAAGGAGGAATGAAGCATGTACTAATACATGCTATAGAGTGGACGAAACTTGAAAACAATCCAAGGGAAAGAAGCCAGTCACAAAGATCACACATTGTATAATTCCACTTGCAAAAAACATCCAGAATAGCTAAATCTGTAGTTGCCATGGCTTCGGGGAGGTGGGATTGAGGAAAAACTGCTTAATGGGTTTCCTTCTGGAGTGATGAAAATGTTTTGGAACTCGATAGGGTAGTGTTTGTCCAACATGGTGAACGTGCTAAATACCACTGAATTGTTCACTCTAAAATGGTTAAGTTTACGTTATGTGAATTTCACCTCTAATAATTTTTTTGAAAGTCCCCAAAAAATTGCCTGTCAGGCTGATGGGTGCCGGTGGGAGTAAAAATAGTCAGTGCTGAGTACCTGGAGCCCATTTGGAGGTGCCATTTGGCCCATATTCCACCCAGCTCCTAAAGGTCTTCTTTGGGGACCTATATACCACAGTCTGTGCAAAGAAGCCCACCTGTGGGCCTCAGCAACTTTCCATCCTCCAGATCAACACATAGCAACCATAAAACCGCTCTCTGTAGTTACTCCTACAAGATAGGCCCTGTGCATTTGAAGGGAGACACCAAG